TGATACCGACATACTAACAGTAATAGTAAATGCTGTAACCAATTTAATATAACAGTAACTATTAACAAAGCATCTAAGGAAGACCGGCTGTGAGCACGGTAGAAACAATTGTAACAAAGATTAGACTGGTAGTCTGTGGAGAAGCAGCAGCGAAGCAGTTCCAGGTAGACTGGTATGTTCAGCTGTTCAGTTGAAGAAAACAGTTGACAGTTGGAAGAGCCTGCCTTTTATAGGCAGCTCGGCAACTGACAGGCGCGTCTGATTGGCTAAGACGCGCCTGGCTGCTACCGAGCTGTCATTCGTAACTGCGAGGACTTTCTTTCAGTATACAACACCTCCATTTTTCAATGGCGCCAATATAATGATTTTGGGAGACCTTCTAAATCTATGGCCTTTAGAAGATCATAGAAGCCAAGACAGTCCCCTGCCTTTTAGAAGTTGCCTGTGTCTCTCTAAGGAAACACTCTTGAAAGGCTTGCATTAATCTAGAAAACAATTTCTTGCAACTAAGTGAATCAAATTAAGGTTGTATGTCTTTTGGATAACCTTTCCTCTTTGCCTGTTTCTCGGTTAGCTTTTCAAGATACTTCTCTAGAGGAGCAATTTTGCTGCCTCATAGTTGCCCCAAACTCTGGAGGGGGAAGCGAGGGGGGGGGGAATAGATATGCTTGCTAATAGTCAAAACAAAAAGTTTTCTTCTGGGAACCAAGGTCATCCCAACAGGTGGCAGTTGCGGGAGGAGAGGAGTGACCAAGCACCCTGCCAGCTACTCCCATTGGACGATGTGACTGGTGACATCTGGGGAGGGAAATAGTTCCTATTTTAAATAGGGAAAAACTGTGGGAACTTTTAGAGTTGGTTTTTGTAGCTGTGCCAATATGATGTACCCAATAAACATGTTCTTTAAGGAATCTACCTGCCTCAGAGTTCTGACTTCAGCAGATGTGTTACTCAGAATGCTGACACCTAACTCTTGAATAATTTAATGGTTTTTTTTGGTGGTTTAGAGAATTTTTTTTTTTAGTGTAGTCTCCCAGTCTCTTCATTAGTTGTGCATTAGATTCTGCTGAATTCTGCCTCCAAAGTGGAATCAATAAGATGAATTGATGTAAACATTTAATAATACAATACGATGTTGGCTATGTAATAGTATACATGTGGATTATATGTTATGAAAATTAAAATTAAAAATTTTTACAAAAAAAACCCCAAAGTGGAATCTATATGTCAGAGTGAGAAATGGGATTTTTGGATTTCAGTAATCAGATTATCCTCTGTCCAGGTTGATTTTGTGATTGGCTGCCCATTGGTCATATTGTATATCTCTCCTATAGACGTTTCTCTGTAGATGTCTCCCTTTACTCAGTCATCTCCTTTATTTTTGATCCTGAAATTTAACTAAAGGAAAATACTGTTATCCTGGAACATTTGAAAAAGAGAACAGATAGATTAGCTCAGAAGTGTTGTCTGAGATCCTATACAATATCTGTTCTACAGCTTTGCCAGATTTACACTTCTACTTCTTTTACCTATGCAGGTGAAGAAAGCAGATCTGTGAAGAAGTCAAGATGGATCTTGATATGCTAAACATGTTTGTAATAGCGGGAGGCACCTTGGCCATTCCCATTTTGGCATTTGTGGTCTCCTTCTTCCTGTATCCTTCAGCACTGATCAAAATATATTACTGGTAAGCTTTTCGTTTTGCTTGGCATCAGTTTCCATTGTATTTATTGAAAATCATGAAGCTGCTGGTATTTGCTTAATTAGAATGAAGAAAGCTGCATTTCTTTCAAAGAGGGTTCTTGCTTTCCACCTTGTTTTATACCTGCTTTCTTGGTGCTGCAAATTCTAAAAACTGGAGGTTGCTGAATGATGCCCGATGTAACATGATGTTCCTGTGGTGGGAAGAAGTAAGAACCTTGTGTAAATATTAAAGATTAAACCCATTGATTAAACATGATGTCATTTATCCTCCAATCCTCCATCAAAGAATATTGAAAGATGTTGTTTCATAACTTTAAAGTGTGAAGCCCATGCTGGTTGGGGAGATCAGGGGATTGAACCGAACAGATTTAAAATAGCTGAGATTGAGAAACAATGTTGTAAAGGTACCAATTACCTGGATGTTTAAACTAGCCTGGTTTCAGTGTTTTTGAAAAGTCTGATACATACATTCACTTAAAGGCAGTTTCCTCTAGGCATGATGAGAAAATATGACCTTAGACCTAACATCAACCGGGCCAGTCACTCTCATTCCAACCCACGTCATACGGTGGTTGTGGGGAAAATGGGAGGTGGAGGGAATAATAAGTATGTTCTTTGCCTTTATAAAAATAATAAAGCTGGACTAACAACATAACACAACATAATCAGTGGGATTAGGATTAGGATTTATTTCATTTATATGCCGCCCTTTTCCCCGAAGGGGACTCAGGGCGGCTCACAATTCGGTCAGGGAAGGGGGTACAGACAGGGGATAAAAAGACGAACGTAACAATACACAATTTAAAAACACACAGCAACCATACCATTCGAGGAGGGGGGCAAAAGCTCTTTAGTCACTGCTTTTTGTAGTTAATCTCTCTGTAAATATCATTGCAGGATGATGTCTTATATGAGATTGGGTGTTGTGGTCATTTAATGGTCCATATTATTGTGATAAGCCAGTAATATTCAAGGATTCGGGCAGGAGTCTCCTTTATCATCTGACCCTAAAATCCTTTTATCTCAAGTTGTTCAAGATTGAATGAAGCCCCCTTGCCAAGCAGAATAGCATTCTTCCACTCAGCTGTGGCTTATCTGAGGTCAGGAGTGGACAATTATTTTACAACTAGGCCTGTATGCATGCATAATAGACAACAGGGTGCTAGAATATTTTTTTATCTCCTGTAAAATCATTGTTATTGTTAATGCTCAGTTAGTATAATGCAGAATTCTCTTAACAGCATGTAACTAAGCAGCAAGGCATGCATTTATTTTTGGTTGCTAGGCAGTAGATTATTACCTAGGTTACTTTGCCTGATTTAGGAAACTAGATCCCCCTGAGTAAAGATGTTGGGAGATTATTTTCTGAATGGGGGACAGATTCTTTACCAAATGGAGCCATCCACAATCTACTTTAAAAGATTAAGCATAAATAAAAGTTAGGTGGGATGAGAATATCATCTCTGATGATCTTAGGACAAGAAGAATTATTGACGAAGGAACGTGAGAGGGAAAGTCTGAGTAAAGATGTTGGAAGATTATTTTCTGAATGGGGACAGATTCTTTACCAAATGGAGCCATTCACAATCTACTTTAAAAGATTAAGCATAAATAAAAGTTAGGTGGGATGAGAATATCATCTTTGATGATCTTAGGACAAGGAGAATTATTGACGAAGGAACGTGAAAGGGAAAGTGAAGGAACGTCCCCGTGAACAAGGGAAAAAAGGCAATCTTAACTGTGAGGCATGGAATAGAAACAAGGGAATTGGTTTTGCTTCTCACATATGTAACACCCATCAGCATAATGGGATTCTCTTGTGGGATTCTCTTGTGCCTGGTTGAATCTTCCCTTTCGAACAATTCCTACTGGATTGCATATCCCCAATAGCTGATTTTTGTCTTTTCCCCCCCCTTCATTGTTGATTAGTGCACAGATTTTCTGCTCTTGCATCAGAAAAGAACAAACAGCTCAAAATGACCACATTCTCTGGAATAGGGCTATCTGGGAAATTGGATAGCTTCACTGTGAATGTGCTACTAACCCCCAGTAAGGGGTTGGATCCAGACTTAATATTATCTAGATACATTTACTGAAATGTAATAGGCTTAAGTTGGGCATGATTAATCTGTATCCCTCCAATTTCAGCGGGCCTATTTTTAGAACACCAAGTCTGCATTCAGCCCAGAATAATACAACACATTATCTTGCTTCCCTTCCCTGCGCCCCCCCCTCCCGCTGTCCCCTGCAGAAAGTAATTGTTTTATATCTGGGAGCTGCCTTTTTTTTCTTTTTGGTTGCCCAGATCTTTAAACCAGGGGGTAGGCTGAATTGATGGAGGAAAGGAACTGGAAGCCTGTGCCTCATATTTGGAAACATTGGGATGTTTTAATGAAGTTTAATAAAATAGATGTTTTGGTGCTTACCTAATTGCCCTGCCTGGATCCAGCAGCTTGTTCAAAAGTTGGGGCTGTAGGGCTGCATATGGCTCCTGACCTAAAAGGTAAATAGACATAGGTACAAATGTATGATGCACGAAAGGGTATTTGGGAATTATAAATAATAGCCAGTACTTGTAATAGCTGCCAATTCACTTAAATGTTCTCCAAAAGTAAACATCTAGAGGTTGCCAATAAGAGACATGCAGTTGGGTTTTGTTTTATTTGGCATTGTTTCCAGGTCCCCCTTTTGATCTGCTATGATTGAGACTTGATCTTGACAATTATGTCAAAAGAAATTTAAATGACTGCTTTGTCTTCACCATGATTCTCTGAAAATACACACAGTAGCAAAGTGCTTGTCCTTCTGCTTTGTCCCCGCAAATTCAAGGGCATTGACATTCCTATTTTAGTCAGTTTTGAAGCATTTTCCTAATTGGAAACAATTAAAGGTAGAGTTTAAGAATAAATTGCAAAACTGATCTGTGGGTTATAGGTTTCTTTATCTTAGTCACTTCATCTGGAGACTGGGTGGAAGCAAATGTAAGTTCATGTCTATTCTTTGAGCTGGAAGCATTCAATTCTTGGACTGATTGCTCTGATTAGGTGCCCTTCGACAGTCAAATGAAATTTGAGGCTGAAATGTTCAGTGAGAATACCATCATCCTTTTCCTCATCCTACAAAAGCAGATGTGTTTGTGTCCTATCAAAATTTAATTGGTGCCTTCCAGATATGTGGTTGACAAATCAGAAATGAAGAGGTGATAAGCTGCCTGGGTAAGCCAAGGAAAATCATCAAAACCATCAAAAAGCGAAAGTTAGAATATTTTAGACATGTGATGTGACATCTGGAAAAATATGGCATGCTTCACGTAATCGTCCAGGTAAAGATTGAAGGCAAATGAAGTCCAGGCAGAAGAAGAACTTCAAAATCTAAGGGACTGGTTTTGACAAAACTTTTTCATGTGGCTGTTGATAAAAATAGGATTGCTAATATGATCGCCAATGTCCAATGACGGATATGGCACAAGAAGAAGAAGATATGTGGGGAAATTTCTTGGAGAATTGTAATCTGTTATTCTTAGAAGCACTAGGTTAGGGAAAACTCGTTGCAGTTAGGACCTGCATCTATGAACAATATTTAAGATATGTGGGTCAGCCTTTAATTTATACAGATGGGGAATGCTCAGGAACCTAAGGAAAATGGATGTTTGCTCCCTGCCTCCCGCAGCATTCCCACCGTGTTTGCGGTAGATGGTTTCTCAGCAGAGATGCCTGATGAGTTGGCTTGAGTTGTCTCCTTCTATTTTTTCTCCCACATTTGATCCTCATTCTTCAGTGTTTCCCAGTGACTGCTGCAGCTGGTAGTGATATTGTGCAAGAGATAATGTCAGCCTTGGACAATTACTCTGTCCTGTATACTGCTAGTCCATCGGCAGGGCCCAAGTAAAATGTTGATTTGGAACATCTTTCTAAAAATATTGATTAGGAACAAATTGTTCCATGTGTAAAGAAAAACTTTGAGACTCCAACGTAATGTCATAAACCTCAAAGCAGGGCCTTCAGGGTACAAAAAGTGATGGAGGTCATATACCTTAGGCAAACTCAGTCCTTTGGATCCTACTTTCATTTAACAACAGTCTTATCAGACATATTTTGAACTCTCTCTGGAATCCTAGGGATCAGTCAGTTCTGGTGTATTTGTTTGGGATTTGGAAACAGTGAGTTGAGATTCCCACTGATTTAACCCTCTAGGCAGCTTTAGAGTGTCTCTTTGAGCTTTTGATTAATCTAATGGCCGCTGCAATGGCTAGGGTTTTAAGAGGGCATCTTCACGGGCGCGGGGCACGAGAGGGCAAAAATCCCCAAATGGCATCTATGTCTATGTGATTAAAGCCCTGTATAGTTTTTTTTTACACACATTGCATGCAAAATATACATATAAAAGGGGCAGGGCTACTATAGTGTGGCCATGGCCCCCATCTTGACTTTTTGATTTACCTACTCTTTTAGTCACCCTTGGAGTTCCAGGTTGGGAATATTTTCCCTTGCCCAGGAGGCAGGTTCGGGGTATTTTTAACACTCAAGTAGGTTAATAATGACAATATATAGACTATGATTTAAAGTCCATGTTTTAGTGATTCAGCAAAAATTTGTTTTTTCTTTGTTACCTTGTTATCTGAGCATCTATGCTACCCCACATCTTGCCTACCCAGTTCCATTTCTTAGAAACTTAAAATAATTTCTAAAGGATTTAATGGCAGCAGAAGAAAAAAGGATAGCAAAGGACAAGAGCTCCATAACAAGAAGGGAATGTAACAAAAAAGGTACTTTAAAAAACTTCCTGACATATCTAGTGATTAATATTTTGCTAATGCTGCAGTGCAGGTTGGAAGCAGCTATTTTAACTCTCTTTTAAAGTATAAGTCAAAAGTACTTTAGGTCTGTCTTGTTTGTATCTGAATAAACATGACCTCAGTGAATTGGTGTTAGAAAATCTGTTTTATTATGTAGAAATGGTGGTAGAGGATCATTATATACCCATGCAGATTGGTAACAGAGGATGGCTACATAGACATACGGATCAAACAAAGTGTACAGTGTACAGTCACCATGTTTCTTACAGCTGATCGGTTTTAACTGTCACGGGAAACTCTCCTCAGAAAAACAGAACCTTGGATTATAGCCATATTCCAGAGCTCTAGTCACAGGACTGGCCCATTGGTTGTCCCAGAGCAGTTCCTCCAGCTGAGTGCACCTGAGTGGTGCCAAGGTAGCCCTTGCCTCCCGCCGCTTCAGGCTTGGAGCAGTAAGATGCGTCCTGGAATCACTACAGCGGCGAGAAGAAGCAGCTGTTATGGGCTCTGTCTGTATGGCCTGGCTGGTTCTTGCCTGCACATGCACAGAACATTATACAATACCTAAAAAAAATGCTGGCAATGGCATGACCTGTCTGCTGTCCCTACCAGTTCGAAGACCCAGTCCCTATTTCCACTACCAGTTCGCCTAAACTGGTAGCAACCCACCTCTGCTCTAGAACAGCTAATATTCCTACAAAATTCTCAGCATCAAAAAGCCATTTTTGATAAATGTCAATGAAGAAATCTTTGTTTTAAACATTTTTTTTATAAAAAAATGCCAGGATAATCACCATGCTGGTTGAACAACATATAAGCATGTCAGTGGGTGTGAATAGTGTATGAGTAATGGAAAGCAGAAAAGAGGAGAAGGAAAATTAATCTTGGACTGAACTCATTGCATTGCATTCTTTCTCTTTCGCCCTAGGTATTGGCGTCGAATCCTGGGCTTGCAGGTGAAATATGCACATTGTGGTGATTACCAGTTTTGCTATTGTTACCGAGGAAGGTCGAGCCACAGACCATCTACCCTCATGCTGCATGGGTTCTCGGCTCCAAAAGAAATGTGGGTTTCTATGGTCAAGGTACGCTTCTGTTTCTCTGACGTTAAAACAATTTCATCTTGGAATTCAAGTGTCACCTGAAAATTGGATCTTTAATCTCTCTCTCTCTCCCTCCTCCTCCACCTCCGCTTCCCTCCTTCCCTCCCTCCCCCCCTCTCTCTGTGTCTATAGCTGACTTTCATTTTACTGAATGTGTTTATTGTGTGGTTCATGATGTTATCTTGCCTTGTAATGGGATGACGGAAATTAACATGGAATGTTGAAGTTTCTGTTAGAACAGTTTGTATTCTCAGAAATACTGTATGAATCAACTGTATGAATCAGGGTTAAGATAATATATAGTTTGTTAGGATGGTTAATTCCAAAATATCTTTGCTGTCTTCACCCATGTATTTAGGCACAAATACACTTGATTCTACTAGGACTGTGGAAAATATGGTCACTCTTCTACATATAGTATAAGACATTCCAAAGTATAAGATGCATCTAGCTTTTGGGGAGGAAACAAGAGGTAAACAAATCTGCCTCTGCCTCCCAGCAATTTTCCTCCTTGCAGCAAATAGCAAACAATACAGACAATATACACTGTTGTGGTGTTACATTTCAGACTATAATTGTACAGAGGCTGTTAAAATTGATGTGGCTTTCTAAAAGCATATGCTATTTAAAAGAAGGTACAATAGCACTGGGCCTCTTCAGATCAAGCATTTATTTTAAAAAGCTTCTTCATTTTGTTGTCTAGAACAATAATAAAGTAGTCTTTAAAAAGTAAATCTAATAATTTGAACGTTCTATAGACATTTATAGTTATTGACTTGCCTCCTTGCAGCAAGCAACCAGTTTCAGTTTAGCCTGATTAAAAGGGAAAAAAATCTGCTTCTGCCTCCCAGTAATTTGCCTCCTAGCAGCAAACATCCTGTTTTACTTTCAGTTTCAGCACCAGCCTTCTGATGATCAGCTATTTCAGGCTGCAGGGATTGCCATAGCCCAGCGATGGCAAACCTTTTTTGGCTTGTATGCCATAAGCGGGGGGTCGTGCGTGGGTGTACCACACCCATAATGCAATATGTGACCTCCCCCAGTGCGCATGCGCGCATGACAGGCGCTCCCCCCATTTTTTGCATACTTTTTTCACTCTCCCTAAGCTCCAGAGGGCGAGGACAGGAGGAGGGCGAAAACAGCCTCACCCCCCTTTGGAGCCCCCCAGAGACTTCAGGAACTTCCCTGAAGTCTCCAGAATGCAAAAAACGACCCTACAAGCAAACTGAAACTTCCGGTTTGCTCGTAGGGCTGTTTTTAGTCCTCCGGAGTGTTCAGGGACCTCCAGGAGGCTTCCCTGAAGGCTCCAGAGGATGAAAAACGACCCTACGAGCAAACCAGAAGTCCGTTGTTGACTTCCGGTTTGCCCTTATGACTGGTTTTTTGCGCTCCAGAAAAAAGCTTCAGGGAAGCTCCTGATACTTCCAGAGGGCCTCCGGGGGGGGGAGGGGGGGGGGGTGGCTGTTTTTACCCCTCCTATAAAGCCTCTGGAGCTTGGGGAGGGCAAAAAACGGCTTTAAAAAAGGCTGAACCCAGCTGACAGGGCAACACCTTGCCATAGGTTCACCATCCCAGTCATAGCCTTTTGCCGCCTCCGCAAGCCCAATTTGCTCCATTTGCAAGGAGGTAAATTGCTGAGAGGCAGACGCCAAAGGGTGGGAGCTGGTGGGTGGGCGGAACTACATTTGGTGTATAAGACCCACCCAAATTTTCACCCTCTTTTAGGGGGGAAAAGGTGCATCTTATACTCCGAAAAATACGGTATCTATCTTTCAGGTACAGATGTGACTGGTTATTGCTAAGTTGGAAATGCTTTATGATGTTGGGCATGGAAAAGAGGATGCATCATCTTAGTTCTTGGGCCATAAAATCTATTTAATATTATCGTAAAAACTCCCATGTGTTTGGGCACGTGGATAACTCAAGGGTTCATGAACAGTTTGTGACTGAGTTTTCTCTTGTAAAAAGATATTTATGTTTTACAATACAAAAGGAGAAACTAAAGGGCCACATGTGGCCCCCAAATCTAGAATGGAACTGCATAATGGGAAAGAGCTGTCATTTCCTGTTTTACAAGAATGCTTTGTGCTGAGCCAATCTGTGGCCAAAAGAAGTCTGTTCAACTCCTTGGGTAGATTCTTGTGCTGTGCTAAGCCAAAATATAGTTTGCTTAATTTTGGCTTAGCTTGTTGTACGAATCCAGCCAATTACAGTTCTTTGCAATAAACTATTGTTGAATGAATGGTGGTTTAATATAATGTATAAACCAGGATTGTATTAAAATAATGGTCATGCTGGAATGTTTCCCAAGTTTGCTTTTGATGATAAAATTTATTCTGCTTATGCTTGTTCTCCACAGTTTCTTCCAAAAAACCTTCACTTGATTTGTGTTGATATGCCAGGCCATGGGGGTACCACTCGGTCATCTCTCGATGATTATTCCATATATGGACAAGTGAAAAGAATACACCAGGTAAAATCTGCAGAAGTGCAGAAATCTACTGATTGTTGCAGTCTTTTGGTCTCTTAGATCTTTCAGTTTTAAAGTAATGAAAAATTAATGGGGAGGTGTGTTTTCCTTTAAATTTGGGGGTGGGGGGGAAGGAAGCTATCACAGATTTCTCTATCTAGTATTTTCTCTATGCACTGGACTACTTTGTTGGGAAGTAAGGGAACTATATTAAAGTCCAGTTTAGTACAAGTATGGCAGAAGCGGAGCACAGACTCCAGATTCTGACTTGTCAAGTTTTTCTCTGAGATTATGGCTTTATTTTGTATGTGTCATAAAGAAAACAATATTTGCTGTTTATTACATACTTGAGCAGTATTGAAAGTTACTCCTTCCAACATATGTGCCACGTAGGGCGTGTCAACTTTTTCAGCTTTCAAATTCCAAACAAAAGTTGTGACTTGCCTTGGGGATTGTAAAGATATTTTGGTTACTTTAATATAATTTAGATGTGCTTGATAAGTGACTCCAAAAATATCATAACGTTCTAACATTTTGTTTGTTTCATTTGTGCCAGTGTCTTCTTCTGGTTCTGATTTCTAGTTTTTCTACATGATGCATTTCAGTCACTAATGCAAAATGCTGTCACCTCAGTTCTCCTGCTCATACAGAATTTATAGTCTTCTGGGGAGAACTTGTAGCACTTCAGAAATGACTTAGGATGTCACTGTGAAAGTCGGTTAGTGCTGTTGGGACAGAGATGAATCTGACATTTATTTATTGAGAAAACTTTTATTGCCACCTAGCTTATGCATAATCATCCAAGGCAGCTTACAGCAATACTCCATGAAAATAAAAATAAATCCACAAAATCTCGCAAAAGACATTGTACTCTCATCACAGTACCACAGCATCCCATCAATTTATGGCACTGACAAACAGTCATGGGTTGCCTAAACACTGATCTTGAAATCAGGTTTCCTATTTTGGATTAGGAGGGACAGCAACTTGGATTGAGCCCCAGCCTGTGGGTTGAATATATCACTCGCAAGCCACACCCACCCCAGCTCTGTGAATGGGAAAAACTTTGCAAAATGTCACATGACAGCAATGTGACATGTCGAGTTTGACACCCAGCCCATAGAAGATGAGGGTAAGGAAGGGAATCTCATTAATCTTAACAAAGAATGAGAGTCCTACTATCTTTAGGGTATTTTAAAAAGTCTCCCTCGCTAAATAGTCTCCTTGAAATCACACATGACTTTTGGCAACTTTATTGTACTTTTCTTGGCAACAGTACAGAAATGACTTGCCCGTGCTTTCTTCCAAGTTGTTTTTTTTACTTCTCAGTTTAGTCCACTGTTCTTGGGGTTCCCTAGAGGTCTCCCATCCAAGTACAGACTAGGCCTGACCTGCTTAGCGTGCTTCTCTCTCCGCCAAAATCACCTAGTCAGAAGCTGTCACATCCCGAAATTTCAAAAGTCTTATTTAACAGGATTTTCCTGTTATGGTATTTTAAGATTTGCAGTCTTTGGGGATATTTACTTCTTCCTGATCCAGCACAACCTTTCATAAGTAACAGCAATTCTTTCTTAATTGAAAAAGAGCTCCCAGATTAAAGCAATTTCTGCATCCAGTCATGGGTTGCCTAAACACTGATCTTGAAATCAGGTTTCCTATTTTGGACTAGGAGGCGCAGCAACTTGGATTGAGCCCCAGCTGTGGTGTTGTGACATGAAGGATGCTGATGCACGGCCTCTCCTTTAATTTTGCAGTTCGTTGAATGTATCAATCTGAACCGAAAGCCATTTCATCTGGTTGGAACTTCAATGGGTGGACATGTGGCTGGTGTTTATGCTGCTCAGTATCCGGCAGAGGTCTGCTGCTTGACTCTTATATGCCCTGGAGGTGAGTTCCACCATTTGTGTTGGATGCACCATTTAAGGCGCTTAAGGATCAGCCAGTGACATCACTGTTGCTCAGGGAAACCGTGTGGGGCTTCATTTATGTTCCTGTCAAGGAGCTAAAGTGAATGATGAGAACAGCAGCAGCACTTAGGTCCTGAACATGGATCTGTTAACCTCCAACCTCCAACTCAACATCCTAACCACGTGAGCAGGTGAATGATGCAAAGAAAATCTGACCTCTGAGAAAGTACCGTAGTAAAATGCATTGGATGGAACCCAGAAAATTATGTTTGCATAATAGATCCTAGGAAGAAACAAATGGATTTTAAGTCTCTTTTTACAGTTAATTTTGTCCTTGGTTCAGATAAATTTTATGTACTCCCCCCTCCCCTGCCTTCTAATTATTTATTTTTTCCAGAGGAGGGGGAGGGAACGTGTGGGTTTTATCTTAGCCTGATTGGTCCAAAGACTGAGAGCGAAGCTTTAAATACTGGTGCCTTCCAATCCTGGCCCAGTTTCTCTCAGTCTTTGGTCCAAACTCTGGTAGAGAATATAGGTAGGATTTATTGTTGTTTGCAATCTGATCTCTATTTGACTTAATTGGGCACTTTAAAAAGTTTTTCTAAATTCCAAATTGTGCAGCTGCGGCCCCAAGGGACAGTTATCTGCTTCGGGCGGTTGGGGAGGGCCCTGTGGGGTGTTCTGCCTCCCCCTGTGGGCCTGGAGCCTTAGCCCTATCTGCTGTCCTTGGTGTCGGAGCACATCTCGGGACTCTCCAATGTCCAGGCAGATTGGCTCAGTCGAGTGACTCTGGACAACAGTGAGTGGCAACTCCACCCGTCGCTGTTCCGGAGGATCTGCCAAAGGTTCGAGTCTCCTCTGGTAGGCCTGTTTGCGTCGCCCGCGAACTCCCAGCTTCCACGGTTTTTCACCCGTTTCCAGTCCAGGTCGGCAGAGGGCACAGACGCCCTCCGGAGCCGGTGGCCGCTGGGCCTTCTTTATGCTTTTCCTCCCATTCACCTCATCCCGGGGACCGTCAGGAAGGTGGTGGCGGAGGGGGCCCTGGTCATTCTAGTGGCCCCGTATTGGCCCAGGAGGCCCTGGTTCGCGGATCTGGTGCAGCTGTCGGTGGCCCCTCCGTGGAGGATTCCGCAGGGGGCGGTAGTCTTGCTGCAGGGGGCTCTGGTACACCCAGAACCCCAGTGGCTT